TATAAAAATAAAAATTTAGGGACTGATAATATGGCGAGTTACCCGGCCAAGCGAGTTGAAAACTGAATGCATATATATAATGAAAGAGTATAATGCATGAGCATAAGCCTTTGATCTTGTGCGCTTTTCAACTCGCTTTAATAACTCACCTCCAATGCTCCATATAATAAAGGCCTTATAGTCTAAGCCGGTTTAGTTCCGTCGAAAGAGATGCAAAAAAAATTCAGTGATATTTACCAGTACCTTATTAGCCTGCGAACAGGCTCTTAAGCTGAATTGAGAGCCTGCATCGATGACTAATGAATTTGAATATCTGCGTCTCAAATCGTGACGCGAAATTCTCATTGGCAGATGCTATAATTTATATGTTTCCGCTGAGCTCTATATATGTCAACTGCTGAAGCACTAATGCATAAAAAAAACATTAACTGATCAAATTGGTCTTGGCCATCTCATGTCAAAGCACGAAATGTTCTGTTTTGAGAAAACAGTATTTAAAACATTTGAACTTTCGCTTGAATATCTTATATTTCGAAAAACAGTATAAACTGTACGGTCTAAATTTAGTTTGCACGATCTAAATTTGGTTTGCACGAAAGTTGTAAACAACACCATATAAGGATAGACATTCCATATTTGGAAAAACGAACGTTACGGGGCAGATATTCAAATTCATTAGTCATCGATGCAGGCTCTCAATTCAGCTTGAGAGCCTGTTCGCAGGCTAGTACCTTATATGGCATATAATCCACTATTTACATGACGTATATATACAAGAACTTGTCGGTTAGAGCTCGACTGCCTCGACAACTGGACTGACTGTAGCTCAGTACCGGTTGAGCGCTGCACAGGAATCGCAGGATCGATTCCTGCCAGAGCATATACTGCATGGCTATATATATATGGAGTATTATAGTTGCATTTAATTTGCAACCTTGCACCTTGAAACATCTCAGTTCTACGAGATCATACACATCGAGACCAGACTATCAATGGCCAGAATTAAGCCTTATAATATATTAATACCATTAGATATATATATCTATTAATGCCCTGCTTGGATATTTTCCTACAGTCTTTATAGCTTAAAACCTAAGTTTGATACGTATATTTGGGAATGCTTATAAATATAATATATTCAGAAGAAATGCTAACAGCTTAAGTCTTAAGCCTTTTAAATGACTATAGCAACAGCGTGTTTGCCTTAACAAAAAAATCTGATCATGTGAGTTAAATAAAATCAGCAAACATCCAATATAAACATTCATGTATGAAAATAATTTGATTTTATCGAGCTATTCTGTTAGGTCCTATGGCTATACCAGTATACCACAATACAGCCCAAACTTATCATTTATCTACTCTTGACACTGAAATGGGCAACATATTTTAGCGATAATTACCGCTCGGAGTATAACATATTGTTTTGAGTGTATGTAAATTAAAATCCCAAGTTCACATTGATGTGAGACTGCTCAGGGTCGAAAATATTACCGTTTCGCGTTACCCGAAATTAAATCATCATTATCATTATCATCACAATCATGATCCAAACTGAATTCAGAGGAACAACAAAATCCCATGCCTATTTTGCCGGCATAGCCTATATGGGATGGCTATGTGCCTATGACACTCTCTCGTGCCCGGTTCACGGATCGAACGAATTCGTCTTCAAATTTACACTATTTCTCCGTGTGATCGAATGAAATCAGTCCAATTTGAACACCGTATAACTCCAGTGTATAATTTGGACACGATATAATTCGGTACGGTTTTGAAACGGTCCAATTTCGTGCCAACACAGCCTTAGCCAGGTTTACACTATAATCATGCACAGCCATGCAGGAATTTTGCATACGTGTAGGTAAATTCTAAGTTTAGAAGGATTTGTAAGAATGACTGACTTGGTGTTAAACATGCAATGATTTAAATTCCATACAAATCATTCAAAACGTACAATTTACCCATGTAAAATTCCTATACGGCTACTGTGAGCACAGAACTTTGAGAGCGGTGTAAACCAGGCTTTATATACTGTACTGCCCTGACTTCGTTCTGGCCCGAAGATATGGTTGGGTTCGGTTGGAAAGCGGGACCACTATATGAGCCATTTTCCAACCTCATTTCACGTCTAGCGAAAACAAGAATTGTCCCGCCCAGGTTTCGTTAGGTCTCCCACATATTACGGGCATAAACAAAGCAGCTTTCTGGACACGATTTAAGTATGTTTGCATAGCACGAAAGCATTTTTATAATATATTTAACACGTTCGGCCACTACATTTAATACTATATAGACTGCTAATAACAGACGACTTACCCGCAAAAATATGGTTGTATTTCGCTAAATGTCTTCAAGTCCAGCCACTTTGAGGCAGATGCAAATATCAACAAAACTACGCTTCTGTTTTCAAATGGCTATCGATCTTCGAGTGTATTTGTTTAAAATTTCGACTGTCCGCGCCCCCGATTCCAAAAGTAAACATGGCGTTTTCTGGGGCTTGGGCCGAGTTTTATGGAAAATTTCGCATCCAGAGCCAAATACAATCTTTGCGATCCTCGGGAGGGAACGCGAGGCTCTGGGATAATCTGTTTCAGGGAGGAATCTGATTGGCTGTTGATATGGAATGCGCAGTTCAATCTTAGCCAGGATTCCTGGCTTCCGGCAACGGATTATCCCAGAGCCTCGCGTTCCTTCCCGAGGATCGCAGGCTTGGGGAACGAGATTGAGCGAAATAGATAAATATACTACAGAAGATGAATCAAAATAGATTCGAAATATACATTTTTTTTAAAATAGATGTGTTGTTAATTAAAATGCATATTTTTTTCGGAGTAACATTACTTTTATATTTGCTGAAACTATCAGCCGGTAAACAATCGCCACAAGTCTGCTGCAGGTTAGTTGCAGTTAAAGTTGAATTTTTTTTTGCGTTTTGTGGATATTTTATTCCTTTTCTTCTTTTTTTGTGTAAATTTATTTACAATTTTCAGGACACAATCCTTTTCGATGTTTATATTCTCTTCCGTTAATGTTTTCTTTTTTCAAGCTCGAAAGGTGCACGTCGCACCTTACATTATTGTACCACCAGGACACACACGAACAGCATAAAACAAGGCTCTCGACAACACAGAACAAAAAATACACGACATTCCCTTTCACAGTGCACCACTATACAGACGCCAACATTACTTATTTACATAATCAGATCACCATGTTCGGGAGATCTAAACTGCAGTTGCCGATTGAGGCAGGTTAAGGATGGATTTTCATCGATTTTTTTGCAATCGCTTTCTTTGAAATATGTGCGGTCAACTGCAGCTAATGAGATTTAAGTTCCACTTGACTGTTCGTACTTCACGATCGCGCAACATTTTGCAATGAATGAAAATCCGCCTTTAAAGCTGGTGTTACCCTATCCACTATATAGCAGATAAATGCATGCAATGTAAACGAATTATATTTACGCCCCCTATAATTACATTTCCGCGGATAGTGTCCTCATTTGTAAAGCTGGTTTTCCAATAATAAGACAAATCACAAGACAAAGAAAAATTCCGCTCCGCGCGCAAAATTTCGCCCAGTGGAAAACTGGTTTTATTATAATTCGTCTACATTGCATGCATATCAAGCTTTCAAGTTAAAAACGTTACGAAAAACTTAGAAAGCGTTGTCCATATCACTTTAGTGAAACGTCGCGCTATTGAAAGTAATCGCGTAGTTTTCGAAGGCGATAGAATACGCGAGGGACGCGACGCGGATAGTGTTCTCGGAGACACGATCCGCCAGCGGAAAACGTATCCGAACCAAATTTCCAAACCTCTACCACTAACCTGCATCAACCACCATCCTGCAGTTTTAGACCGTCCCCATGTTTGGCTATAGATTATGGTTAAGAAGTGCTTCCTATTGAACAGTGATTGAACAGTGAAAACACACCGTGAACTATACATGCATTACCCGTATCCAAAACTTAAATTTTAAAAAATCATTTACTCAACTACGGAAATGGTTTTTCCATAATATGAGCCGTGATTTTAAGCGAAAAAATAATTTGTACAGCTCATTTTCGCTTCGACGGGGGATAAACGCATCTACAGATCTTGTGAAAAACCGAACTTATGCACACAATAACTATAGTTGCTAAGCTAGGGCCCGAATAAATGCTTGATTTCAGTTTACTGACAGACTCGGCTATCCCATGACACCACAGTTAATAGAATACATGGTTTGGAGACTCGGTAAAAGTACAATATAACTCATTAACTATGTTGGTTTCGGTTTATGCAAGAATTTGGGCCTATCTCGTCACGTGTGTATTGTACTTTTTTCCCGTACAACCAATAGCAATGTTTAAATTGAGCATTTTTTCAAGTTACGGATGGATAACTCAACCACAAACTTGTTATTGGTTATTTGAGCGAAAATACAATACACACGTGACGAGATAGGACCAAATTCTTGCATAAAGCTGGACAATAACATAGTTAATGAGTTATATTGTACTTTCATCGAGTCTCCAAACCATCTATTAAAATAACTGTGATGACACCCGACCTTACTTTTTACATATTTTTTACTGGCAAAAATAAACACAATTAATAAGTGAGTCCTTGTGCACAAAATCTTATTATCTACTTAAATAAAATGCTCCTCGCATTAAAATATCAGCTATTTGAATAAACAAAAGAAAAATATAAGAAAGTTCGATCTGCTGACCATAATTTTTCGAAGCATGAAACCAGAACCAAATCATTTTTAGGCCTATAACTGGGTTGTGTAAAAGATTTTTAAGTGTGTACTGAAACACATTGACTTTTCACCGTACCATAATCTATAGCCAAACATCCATCACTAAGACAAAACATTGACATTGTGAAAACAGCAATACAAAACAAGTTCCTTTACATCTCATTACATGACAGGATCAAACAATTTGTGTTGGCACATGAATGGGACTTGTCATGAATTTAACAGAGAGAGGGACTGCACAAACCCTCTCAAATATCCATTTGGAATTGGGTGTGGTCTTCAACACCTAGAAAATATGCATTATTGAAGTTTAGGATTGTGGACTTCCACACTCGATATAACTAATAGACCTTTCCCCTTGTGAGTGAAATTTTGATCTAGATATGCCATTGATCTTGGAAGAGCATCACAAAATTAGTAATATTCCGAAGGTTCGTTGCAAAATGTTGTAAAATGCGGATAATATAGCCGCCTTGCGAAGTTTGCCGTTTTTCAGTCATTTTGTATTAGGCACAGGAAATTGATAATCAGATGATCAAACTGATTATCAATTTCCCATTTGATCATCTGATTATCAATTTCCCATTTGATCATCTGATTATCAATTTCCCATTTGTAAATGCAAAATGACTGAAAAACAGCAAACTTCACAAGGCTACATATATTATCCGCATTTCGCAACATTTCGCAACGAAACTTCGGAATATTACTAATTTTGTGATGCTCTTTCAAGCTGTGATGAAATTTTTGTCCACGCTTGTCTAGATCAAAATTTCACGCAAAAGGGGAAAGGTCTATTGTAGCAGGGTTTTGTACAGGTCTGGGAATTTCGAGTGCGAATTTTATACATTTATTAGACTTATTAGACGAGGAGCAGTTGTTAAAAATGCAACTACAGGACATTTAAGTTCAAGGTCAAATTCCTGCACGAGGGCCGACAGTTACATCTTTCACAACTGCTCCTGGTTAGGTCTAGATAATAAATGTACAAAATGCACACTCAAAATTATTGAAATGTATTATGTTTACCGCACATGTAGCCATGTTGCATATGGAATGAACAATAATAAGATGAAGGCTGCTGATTGTGACTGCTTCATAATAGAGGGACACCAACAGTGAGTAGGCCTTGAATGTCCATATGGCGGGGCAGCAACTTTAACAAATCCCAGTTGAGGGAATACTTTTGGACAGGTCAACCCCAAAACCATGTGGGGGGAGTTGGAAACGCCGAAAGTTTTATTTGTAGGCGGGCAGCAACTTTACCAAATCTAAACCTATGCAGAGTCTGTAAATGGCTATCAACTAAGACTACATAGTCTAAAAATAAGGCTAAAATTGCTATTGAGCTAGCTATTAGGACTAGATCTGCCCTGATCTGATAAAGTTTTGGTTCACTTGGTGGTCATCTGAGATACCATGCCTACATGGGCTAAATATGTACTACATCAAATCGGAATTAATAAAGTAGTATATGAACATACCTGAAGTGGCCTTTGCCTCTTCAACGCCTGGTGAATGTTCTTCTGGAATTGTCTCCTGCGGCTTCACTTTGCTGTCACATGTTATCCCAGGAATCACCGGCAAGTTGGATGGCGGAGTCCGGGCCAGTGGGGAATTACGTAGCTCCATCAAAAACTTTCTTTCATAAATGATTCGTGTTCCTGTTGGAAACATGTTGACAAAATGAATCAGTAAAAACATAATGAAAATGCCGATGGTTTTCGATTCAAGAGGCAGGTTGTTCAAAGCCGTATTAGAGCTAACCCTCGGTTAAAGCTGTTAGTTTGTGTATTTCTGCACGGCTGTTTATTTCAAAACTTCAGAGAAGAAAACTCGCTCTGATCCAGTCAATATTTCTGAAGAAATATTCCCAAATTTACATACAAGCCTGTTAGGAAGCTTGCTTTGAATTTTAGGTTAACCTAGGGTTAAAGATGATGTCCACTCATGTGCGCATATGCGAACTTTGTTTATGTTTTGAACTGCTATATTTGTAAAATATGATATCAGGCCTTAAAATATCGGTCGGTCACGGACATTGTCCGACCCATTCGTGAAATTGTCCGACGTAGAAAGGAAACCACCGGACATTCTGTCCGACCTAAGTGAAACTGAGGTTTATTGTTTGTCCGACCCGACTCACCCGAGTGTATTGG